ACAAAGATCAATTAATATGTTAACAGGCAATAACTTACTGTTATTTAAATTTTTATATCAAAAACATAATTAGACTTACATTTCAAATACAAATAGCTTCCTTTTGCCTCTTTTAACATATTTGCATGTTATGAAAGAAGAGTTGCTCCATTTACTAAAATTTTGAATACTACACTATATTAAAAAAAATATGGTTCTTTCTTCACTAAAAGAAGTCAGGGCCCAACTTGGAGACATGGTGGATTTCAGGGCTTGGGCAGGGAAAATATAAGATGAACCCACATTTTGTGATGCTGGGAATTAAGGAAGTACTTCCCCCCCAAAAAAAGTAAATAAATAATGAAGTCATGTTGAAAAGACACCAGAGCCAACCTAGAAGATCACCCAATGACCAAGCCTGTAAGAACTTGCACAAAATAATAAATAGCCATATTATTAGATTATAACACATAGAATAAAATAAATGTCCTTACTGATATAAATAAATAAGTAAGGGAGAAAGGGCAGTTTTTCCTTGCAGAAGAATTCCAATTAATATATGTGGAAATAATGAAGAAAATAGAAGATCACCATTAGAAGCACCATTAGAAAGAAAATAGAAGATCACCATTAATGGTGCATTAGAATAATTGCACCATTAATTATTGCAAGGAAGATCATTGATTGATTATAAAATTAATGAGCAGACTTTTGAGGAAAAATAGGATATTTGCATAATCTTGAAGTATATTTCCCAAAATGTATACTAATTATAAAGAAAAAATATTTACTTAACAAATGAAAAAGACTGGCAGAATCACCTTCTTAACCAAGAGATCAAGGTTAATATCAACAGTCATAAGACATATTTGCATCCAATGCTACACTGAAAACAGATCACTCTTATGATATCCTTGACAAAAAAAAGAAATGCATGACCTCGATCTAATCATGAGAAAATATGAGACAGACCTAATTTTAAAGATGTTTTATAAAATAACTGACCAGTATTCTTTAAAGGTGTCAAGGTCATAGGAAGCATAGAAATACTGAAGAACTCTCACAGATTGGAGGAAAATAAATAGGCATGACAACTAAATATAAAGTAGGATCTCTGAAAAGACTTTAATGGAATAGCTGGTGAAATTAAAACAAAGTCTGGATTTTGTTAATAGTAAAGTGATTAGAATAGTGTTTCTCACATACTAAACTTTATACTATATAGGAGATTATGAATTAAAAATTTTAAATGAACTTGCTAAATATTATACAGTCAGGTATGGTACAGCTTGAGTTTTAACCCACACTATATAACCACTGGACTTTTCTTGTCTGGTTTTGGTATCAGGGGCATACATTACTGATCTCACATAATGAGTTGGAAAACAGTCCTCATTTTTCTTTTCTCCAGAAGACTTTACACATAAAGCTGTAAGTTACCTTCTTTAAGTAGAATCATTTTCTCTTCACCACATATTTGAGTTTCTTTTAATTTCTTTTTCAATTTTTTTGTCTCCCAATTTGTATTTTATTTGAACCATCAGTTGCATAGAAGTTTTTCTTAATTCTTCTAAATTTTCAAGAATATGAGTATTTGGGGAATTATCTTTTTTGTTTTAACCTCTATCTTAATTGTATACTGGTCAGAGAATTCAGTAGATACTGATTTATTAAAATGTATTCAAACTTGTCTTATAACTTAATACTTGATCAAATTGGGTTCAACGTTTCATGCCTGCTTGAAAAGAATCTATATTCTCTAGATGGTGCATACAGGTTTTATATATATAAATGTCAGTTGAAACATCCATATTATTTGCATTTATTTTGTTAAGTATTCCATGTATTTATAATGTTTCTAGTCTGGTTGACTGATCATTTATTGAAAAAAATTATTTTTGGCTGTATTCCACATATACTCTAGGTTTGAGAATAGATAAGCATGGTACTGAAGAGTTTTTTTTTTTTTTTTTTTTTTTGCTGTATGCGGGCCTCTCACTGTTGTGGCCTCTCCTGTTGGGGAGCACAGGCTCCAGATGCGCAGGCTCAGCGGCCATGGCTCACGGGCCCAGCCGCTCCGCGGCATGTGGGATCTTCCCTGACCAGGGCACGAACCCGTGTCCCCTGCATTGGCAGGCGGACTCTCAACCACTGCACCACCAGGGAAGCCATGAAGAGTTTTTTTTAAAACCCAGATTTTATAAGACATTATAAACCAAATGAAGAAATTAAGAATTTATTCTAACATCAATAAACAGTGCTTTCAGTAGAGAAGTTAAATCATTTCTGTCTTTTAGAAAGGCTACTTCGGCTCCAGTGTAATAAATCAATTCATTGAGATGCTACCTCTCTAACATTTAATATTTAAAAGAAAGTTGTTGAAGTAAGTAGACTAGAGTTGGTGGTGTTCTGAGGTAGAAGCATAGTGAAAATAAAAATATATCAAAAGAAAGAGCTAGAGGTTGCCAGGCAATGCATTGTGTAGAAAATCTTTCATGAGGGAGAAAAGTGTATTAAATTGAGGAAGAAAAGCATATTTTAAAAACCTAAAGGAGACCTAAACCTAAAGGAGTGTTATGGAGACTATTAATTAAGGGAGGGAATGACAATAAAAAGGAGCCAATCTGTGGAGGGCCAGCCTATGTATGTTTTATTTTAAGTACAAAGAGAGCTATCAAATGGTTTTGAAGTTCTGAATAATTATTGATTATTGTTTTCAAAGGGATAATATGGATGCAATGTGTACTGAGGGTAGCTGAGATTTGAGTGGATTTGGCCAAGAATAGCACCTGGTAGACGAGTTAGGAAGCTTCTCAGTTATCCAATATAAGAATAAGTATGGGGCTTCCCTGGTGGCACAGTGGTTGCAAGTCCACCTGCCGATGCACGGGGACACGGGTTCATGCCCCTGTCTGGGAAGATCCCACATGCCGCGGAGCAGCTGGGCCAGTGAGCCATGGCCGCTGAGCCTGCATGTTTGGAGCCTGCGCGTCCGGAGCCTGTGCTCTGCAACGGGAGAGGCCACAGCAGTGAGAGGCCCACGTACCTCAAAAAAATAAAATAAAAAAAAATAAGTATGTAGAGGCTGCTACATTCAAAGAAATACAATGGGAATATAAAGGTGAAAAAATACAAAGTCGTCCCTGTCATGTATCAATACAACATCCTCATGGTACATACAAATAAACAAGTAAATAATATAATGCCTAACAGTGACAAGGGATATGAAGAGTTATTGGGAGTGGTCTTCTCAATAAAGTTGTTTTCAGTAAGGTAATTGGTGAAAGCTTCTGACGGGTCGGAGTTGAGGGATCACCTGAAGGAAGAAAGTGAATGAGCCATCTGAATATCTAGGAACAGCTGTTTCTAGCAGAAGAAATAGCAAAGGCAAAGAGAGCCAACAAGACAGTAGCTATGGAATGAATTGAGAGTTGCATTCAACAATGTGTTACCAGAGATTAATGGAGGGAAAAAATGTACAAAAAGAATTAAAAAGTACACATTAAGTGACTAACCAGGGTGTGGTAGAAACTGAGTCTTAATGATGTCTCCTAGAAAAGGACTTTTCAAACTGAGCAGATATAGATGCCTGTATTAGTTTGTTAGGGCTGCCATAACAAAGTACCACATACTGTATGGTTTAAACAATAGACATTTCTTTTCTCACAGTTCTGGAAGCTGGAAGCCCAAGATCAAGGTGGTTTCTTCTGAGGCCTCTCACTAGCGTGTAGATGGCCATCTTCTCCCTGTCTTTACATGGGCTTTCCTCTGTGCCTGTCTGTGTCCAAATTCGGACACTAGTCATGTTAGATTAGGGCTCATCCTAATGTTCTCATTTAACCTTAATTACCTCTCTAAAGACGTTATCTTCTAGTACAGTCATATTTTGAGGTAGTGAATGGGGTTTAGGGGCTCAACATAGGAATTTTGAGGGCCATAGCCCCTTAAGCACTCAGCACATAATAGACCCATTTTCTCAGATTTGATAAATTGTGTTATGATTATTTGAGGTTCGTTGGGGGGGGAGAATTTTATGCGAGGGAAATAGTATGTGAACTATAGAGATATAGGAAATTAATTTTTGACAAGAAGGCTTTGAAAAGTCCAGTTTGGTGCAGATCTTTCCTGGAAGTGGCTAACAGAAAGACACATTAGGAAAGATATAGTCAGGCAAGAGCATGACTAGCTAAGAGGTCTGGACTTTATTATGTATATTAAGGAGAATTACTTAAGGTTTATGAACAAGAAGGTGCTCTAACCAGAAGTGTCCCTTAGGTCGATTAATCTGTCAGTAGCATGTAGTTTATGATCAGGTACTAAAATATAAATCTCATTAACAGGAGAGGTTGTTCATGCTGAAGCATGAGTAGGTGTACCAGGGGCTTAGATAAATTCTTGTTTTGCTCTGAAATGTAAGGGAATTGGTCAGAATTTAGTGTTTTTACAGTGACACTGTGAAGGACATCTTTGTATTTCTCCCACAGAGTATCCTTTGTGTCTCCTGTCACAAATAGAAGTGGGATTCTTCCCCACTATGGCTGATTTCATGGAATTTTGTAATGTTCTGCCCTGCAGCTGAAATAAACTGAGTAGTAAATAACTAAAAACAACAAAAGAAAAACAATTTAAAAATATGTTCACTGCAATATATAAATATTCACAGTATATTCTGTCATTTGTCGTGATTGTATAAACACACACAGGTACATATGTGTACTCAAAGCTGATATCTAGTTACTTCTGCAGATGCAAAAAAAGACAACATGCTCATTTTTAAAAGCAGAACTCCTGATACAATTAGAGATTGGGTCTCACTATTTATAGTAGGCACAGACCAAATCCCCCAGATTTCCACTTTTTCTGTTCCTAGACTTTATATTATCCATATTGTGTGTGTTCAACTTATTAGTCAACATCTAATGTAGAGTTTAAGATTTATAATATTCTCTCATACACATTTTACCTTAGAATAGTCTATGGAGAAATTTCTTTCTGTCTCTTCTTTTCTGTAATCTTTACAGACACCATCCATCTTCGAGTTCTTGAATCCTCCCCAGTTGGCACATCCATTGGAAGGGTAAAAGCAACTGATGCTGATACTGGGGAAAATGCTGAAGTAGAATACCGAATTATTGATGGTGATGGGACTGATATGTTTGACATCAGAACTGAGAAGGACACACAGGAAGGCATCATCACTGTGAAAAAGGTGCAGAACATCAATAGAAATAATCATCTGACTGTTAGGAAGTAGGGATTTCGATATGTATTATCCACTCATGCTCTGTCCGTTAAGAAATATCCGTACCATGTTCCAATGTAAATGCGTAAGTAGGGCTTCCCTGGTGGTACAGTGGTTGCGAGTCCGCCTGCCAATGCAGGGGACACGGGTTCGTGCCCCGGTCCGGGAAGATCCCACATGCCGCGGAGTGGCTGGGCCCGTGAGCCATGGCCGCTGAGCCTGCGCGTCCGGAGCCTGTGCTCTGCAACGGGAGAGGCCACAACAGTGAGAGGCCCGCGTACCGACCAAAAAAAAAAAAAAAGCATAAGTATGAGAGACATAAAGCCAAAGACCTCCTTGAATGTTTCGACCAAATGTTTTTGTTAATTAAAACATGAAACCTGAGATTTTACAAAATTTAAAAGGCAAGTTAATATACATGTGTTTGTATTTCTGAGCCACGTTAATAAAAGCCCCTTATTAACATCGTTTCCTTAAAAAAATAGTTAATAACTAATAATAGTAATATATCATCACAGTTGGAGGCATAAAAAGTAGCATGCCATCTATCCAGATGTATGAGGCAATAATTAGAGTTGCTAATAAAAAGAGACAGCGTGGATTGGAAAATAATCTCATTGTTCACATTTTCCCTTCTGCTGCCTAAATTAAACTTTTCGGCTAACATATGCTCAGTGATATGATTTAAAGGTAACTAGTTTTTTATTGTACATTCAGTACCATCCTTATAAGAAAAAATAAGGCCCAGTAAAATGTATGTCCTAATGAAATGTCCTGAACACTCTATTTGCATAAAGTAGCCATCAGTTAATCACGGAACTCTCCTCAGAGTCTATTGCGAAGTTCAAGGTACACAACCACTTTTAAACAGACAATGACCAGCAAAGGAGTGACCTACTGAATATTTAAGTTCCTTTTTGTTTCATAATGTAACCTAATTACCAATTAGATATCAAAATTTTTCTCTTTACCCAAGTTTTTTCTTATTTTCAATGTTTCATATAACTGATGAAAAGTTTTGTATTAGTCTTCAAAATTTCATCAAGTTTATGTAGTGCCATGAGCCTGTTAAACGGAATGGAAGTATCACAACATATATTTTAAAAGATTACTGAATTTTTTTACTTAGAAAAACTTAGCAGTAGCCAACACCTCAGCACACATACGTACACACAAACACACACACAATCCACCAACCCATGTTTTGTAATGAGTTACCACTATATGAGACAGGTCTTAATATCCTTTTCAATTTTTCTAAGATTTAAAATCTCATTTTCCTATGCTCTGAAGTGCTACAGTTTAAGTACATAAGAAGTAAAAATTGAATTCTACCTGATGTGTAAAGATTATATATTTTTATTAATTTTAATTATTTACAGTTTATAAACAACTTGACAACTCAACTAGGCTTTAAAAATCATACTGTAACTTGGAAGGAACATATAATTCAATTTCCCTCAATCTAATTTGATGATTTATTTACTTATTTTTAATACAGCCACTTGACTATGAGAGCCGAAGGCTTTACACTCTGAAGGTTGAAGCAGAAAATACCCATGTGGATCCACGTTTTTATTACCTAGGACCATTTAAAGATACGGCAATTGTGAAAATCTCTATCGAAGATGTGGACGAACCACCTGTTTTCAGCAGATCCTCCTATCTCTTTGAGGTTCATGAAGATATTGAAGTGGGTACAATCATTGGTACTGTGATGGCAAGGGACCCAGATTCTACTTCTAGCCCCATTAGGTAATTATGCTTATGCTTAGGATGAAAAGAAAGGGAATTGAAGTAAATGTAGAGAGCATGAAATTATATTTAAAACGTTTAATGCATTAAAAGATAGAGCTGTGCTGGGCTTCCCTGGTGGCACAGTGGTTGAGAGTCCACCTGGCGATGGGGGGGGACACGAGGGGACACGGGTTCGTGCCCCGGTCCCAGAAGATCCCACATGCGGCGGAGCAGCTGGGCCCATGAGCCATGGCCGCTGAGCCTGCACGTCCGGAGCCTCTGCTCCGCAACGGGAGAGGCCACAACAGTGAGAGGCCCGTGTACCAAAAAAAAAAAAAAAAAAGATAGAGCTGTGCATATGTTGGGTGAACACAAGTATTTAAGATAAGTTGTCTGTGTTCTGGCGCAGGGTATGCACAAATTTCATAGTTTGATTCCATTTTAACCATGCTAGTTACTGAAACTTGGCTTGTATCATCTGCCTGTCTCTTTAAGATATTTGTTGTTCTGACGCCTGGTACAGATAAAGGGGACTATTTCAGCTGTGCATTTGCAATGTAACAAAATCAATTTATCTGTGCTTTGGGGTTCTTAAATAATATGAGGTTGAGAGGAGTTTTAATAATTAAAAATTATATAATCATAACAATGTTACAATGTAGTTATGATTTTAAAAACTTCTATATCCTACCAGCAAAGGGGGAAGTTTGTTTGGTGTTCTTTTGGCTATATCAAAAAGTTTAGAACATTCCAGAAAGATCATAGTCATTTCAAATTTTTGTTTTGCTTTGTTTTCTTATGGCACCTAACAACATATAAGATGTGATAAAAACATACAAATGAGAAAGACAAAGTTTTCACTGACATTTGTTCTCTCATTTTAAAAAAGTACAAATATCTATATACAATATTCAGGATCAAAATTACTGCTCACTTTAAACTGTTAGTCCATCAATTATTTTGGATTTCATTTGTTTCCTTATCCTCAGCAGACTGATTTTGCTTATCCTTTTTACAGTGTGGGCCAGTCTAGTAGGAGTTCAAGTCGTACAATTTCCAAGTACACACTTCTCTGACTCCTAACTATTTAGCAGTGGAATGTCGGAACCTCTACTTTTATGCACCATGTGACTCTAGCTCAAAGTTTAAAATTCTGTAGGTTCTGCCATATCAAGTGACTTCATATTATATATATATTTATATGCATATATATTAAAATTATTATTTGATTTATCTAATTTTACCTAAATATTTTCTTATAATCACATCCATGTCACATACATGACAGGTTACATATTGGCAGCCAAAACCTGCATATGGCAGTCAAGTACAGCTCCCATCTGTCAGCATGATTTTCCCATAAATGCCTCTCCCACCCATTTATCTTCATTGAAATTGCTGCCTTCCTTGGATTTTTTCCTTTAAAGCTTTTTTTTTTTCTTGTCATTCATTCGGTAGACATTTATTGAACATACACTCTTATTCTTCCCCATTAAAATGGCCTTAAAATAAAATATAATATTTTTAAAAAGTTCAGTTTAAATTGTGGCATTATTAAGAGGCAATATATTTTTCCACACAGTGAAATAGATTCTAAATATTCTCATAGACTAATGGTTATTACATGTTAAAATATGTCTGTGGATTCTTTCTTAAGTTAAATTTTTCAACAGGATGCAAATTTCAGGACCAGGAGAAAAGAATCCATTTATGTGTACTAAGCAACAGAATTAATGACTTCATTGCTTATTAATGACTGAGTCTAGCTAAGATCGTTGTTGTATATTTGAATTTATACTAACTTGATGTAGAAAAAGCGAATGAAATTTTTTGGATGTTAATCTTGATAGACCATGCAGATTAAAAAGTTGTATATATATAATCAAAGAGGTAAAGTAGTTTTACTAAAACAATGTATTTAGGGATGGATAATCGGATAATACTGGTCATGTTATAAACTGTCCATGTCATGTATTGTGGATGTTAATGCAATAATCAAAGGTATTTACCTAAAATATGTCTTTTGGAACTGATTTTTTTAATGAAAATGTTAGGTAATAAACATAATTTACCGATAAAGAATTGAAAAATAAACAGTTGCCCCTTGAACAACTCAGGGATTAGGGGTGCAAATCTCCCCTCGCCCCCTCCCCACAGTCAAAAATCTGAGTGTAACTTTATAGTTGGCCCTCTGCATCCGCAGTTCCGTGTCCAAGGATTCAACCTCACATTTATTTATTCAATAAACACAGACTCTAATTTATATTTTCTGAAAATATCTGCATATAAGTACACCCAGGAAATTCAAACCCATGTTGTTCAAGCGTCAACTATAATTATATCAGGTTTGAAAAAGAACCAGGATCTCTCTGTATCTTCAAGATAATTTCACATAATCCTTTAAATTTTGTCACTAGCTTTTAAACTGAACTACAAGAAAAAAGACAAAACACACATAAAATGGATTTGGAAAAGACAATGATGCTCTATACTGATTTACATAATGCAACTTCCTGTCATATTTCTGTAGAAATAAGGATACTTATCATTTGCCAAAATGCCAAAGAAGTCATTCAACAAATATTTGTGGGTCACCATGTCTACTAATTTGTTTCTCAGGGAATTCTCAGTCTGTTAGGAAAGAAGATTCAGTATGAGAAATAAGATTAATTGAGTATCTACTAGATTCCAAGTATGATGCTTGCTGTTTTCATGTTTAATTTCCTGTTTGAGATGTGAGACGAAATGAATTCCTAATACAATGTGGTAAATGGCAGAGATGATGGCACAAGGTGCTATAGGATGGAAGGGGACAAATAGCTTTACTTCAGGTAATCATGGAACAGTCCAAGGAGGAGGTAAAATTTACGTTGAATCTTTCAGTAGTAAAATAATTTTGTCAACTTGGGATATAATTTGTGAATTATTCCAGATATAGAGATACAATGTTTTGCTTTATTTGTGAATGGCTAAAGCATGTAGTTTGAATAAAAAACTAAATATATATTGTGTTAATAGAGAGGGCTGGGGTTTATTAAGCAAATTTGCAAATTACTGGTCTATTCTACTTAGAACTGATTTAAAATAAAAATCCAAAATAAGCAATCCTCAAAAATAAAATCATATTAACTGTATCAAAATGTTAAGTTATTCTTCTAATGCAATTTATTAAAAACCCCGCAAAAATATCATAAATTTCAATTGATCTTTGGAAATATTATACATGTTTGGAACACTAAAAGAAAAAAGTTTTATGGCACTTTCAAAATTATTTTGTGTTATTACTTACAAAATACTATTTAAAAATAATATTTCATATCTTGTTCCTTCAAATAAATGACAGTTGTGGCTTAGGAAAATATATGCCATAACTAGATATTACTCCTAGTTTTGTCATGTTTATTTTGATTTGTTTTTTAAATTTTAAATAGGGAACATTAAAGATAACTTGGGGGATTATGCTTGCTAACTCAAGAATTATGAAACATTTGTAAACAACTAGGCTTGTGAAGTGACAGGAACCACCAATGAGGGGTACAGCTCTTTTAAACCTTGGCTGACAACCCCCAAAATAATGGAACTTATCCCAACTACATCATCCTGATTGATAAACCTGTAGTTGGGTTTTGGAATGACACCCGACACAATGCCTTTAATCAATTTGCAGAATAGTTGGTTTTGTAATATATATACTAAGATTTAATTTGATACAAACATATAAAAACTCCTATCCCAAACTTTTCTATTTTTAAAACATTTCTAGTTAAAATGTATACATTTTATAATGATACATGTGGGTAAGAAACCAAAGCTACCTGTGTATCATACTTTGAAGCTGCTGACCAGCATAAATTGATGATCTACTACTCTGAGGGAACTAATGTTGTCTCCAATATTCTTACTAAAAGACTTTATTAGTGGGAATGATATTTTGCATTTGATCCTTGTAATAATTCTTCAACAGAGTTCTCAACCTCTAGGTAATGTCAGTTGGTAATGTAAAATTGTAATTCCAAGTTTTATGGAAAAATACGTCAAGGTCAGTTGAATATGCAATAGACAATGATTTAATTAAACAACCATTCAGAAGACCAGCATTTGAATGCAGAACAAAGGTCAATTCAGGTCTTGGGAAGAGGTTTTGGGAGGATGGGAGAGGGTCAGTTTGTGTGTGTGTGTGTTTGTGATAAATCCATGACACAGTCTGCATCCTGGATCAGTACTATGTACTTTCCTGAAATTATTATATATCACTATATATGTGTCTTTGCATTTCACCATTTTCTCCTGCAAACCATCAGTAATGCTTCCATGTATTTTTCTCTGCCCTCGATGTTCAGATTTTCCTTGGATCGCCACACTGACCTCGACAGGATCTTTAACATACATTCTGGAAATGGATCCCTTTATACATCAAAGCCACTTGACCGTGAACTATCTCAGTGGCACAATCTTACTGTTATCGCTGCTGAAATCAGTAAGATGAGTTTTATGTATATCATATTTAGCATAATTTTAGGTTTTATTTTGTATTAAGAATAATTTCTTCTCATTGCACACATGAGTTGTAATTTCAATCTAAGGTTTTTAAAGGTTTCTCTACACCTATAATTTTTTTCAGTAGTTTCTATATATACTGAGAAATAGCTGTAGGCATCCACAAATCTACCTTTAATATTAACTAATAAAAAGGATCTAGAATTGGAAACTAAAGATATTCTCTTTGGGAGAAAGGGAAATGTATTAAAATTGTTGCTTGGACGCCATGAATTAAAATCTATGCTAAAATGCTGGGAGTCTATTATTTAACAATAAACACAGAGAAAGATTTTACTACTTCCTTTTTACAGGTGAAGAAACAAAGGTATTAGTAATAAGAGCTAACATTAAACACTCGGTGAAGGTATTATTCTAAGAATTTTAAATTAATTCTTTCCTCCTAATATTTTTCTTGACCTTATTTAACAGAGAAGGAAAAAAGACTCCAGGGATTTTAGTAACTTATCCAAAGTCACAGAAGTAGTAAAACTGGGATTTGAAACTAGTCATTCTGTTTCTAGAATGACTTAATTCTATACCAAATTTACAAAATTTCATCCAACTAGTAACAAACAAAGCCAGCATTCAAAATCATATCTGTCTCTAGTTGCAAAAGTTCTTGTCCATACACAGGACTGCCTACACAATTTTTAGAGCCTATTATAAAATGAAAGTATCAGGCCTCATGTTAAAATATGATTAAGAAATTTAAGATGGCAACACTATAAAACTCTTAGAGGAAAACGTAGGCAGAACACTCTATGACATAAATCACAGCAAGATCCTTTTGGACCCACCTCCCAGAGGAATGGAAATAAAAACAAAAATAAACAAATGGGACCTAATGAAACTAAAAGATTTTGCACAGCAAAGGGGAACATAAACAAGACAAAAAGGCAACACTCAGAATGGGAGAAAATTATTTGCAAATGAAGCAACTGACAAAGGATTAATCTCTAAAATTTATAAGCAGCTCATGCAGCTCAATATCAAAAAAACAACCAACCCAATCCAAAAATGGGCAGAAGACCTAAATAGACATTTCTCCAAAGAAGATATATAGATTGCCAACAAACACATGAAAGGATGCTCAACATCACTAATCATTAGAGAAATGCAAATCAAAACTACAATGAGGTATCACCTCACAGCGGTCAGAATGGCCATTATCAAAAAACCTACAAAAAATAATTGCTGGAGAGGGTGTGGAGAAAAGGGAACCCTCTTTCACTGTTGGTGGGAATGTAAATTGATACAGCCACTATGGAGAACAGTATGGAGGCTCCTAAAAAACTGAAAATAGAACTACCATACGACCCAGCAATCCCACTACTGGGCACACAATAACTCAAAAAGAGACATGTACCACAATGTTCGCTACAGCTCTATTTACAATAGCCAAGATATAGAAGCAACCTAAGTGTCCATAGACAGATGAATGGATAAAGAAGATGTGGCACATATATACAATGGAATATTACTCAGCCATAAAAAGAAACAAAATTGCACTATTTGTAGTGAGGTGAATGGACCTACAGTCTGTCATATAGAGAGAAGTAAGTCAGAAAGAGAAAAACAAATACCGTCTGCTAACACATATATATGGAATCTAAAAAAAAAAACAAAAAGGTTCTGAAGAACCTAGGGGCAGGACAGGAATAAAGACGCAGACATAGAAAATGGACTTGAGGACACGGGGAGGAGGAAGGGTAAGCTGGGACGACCTGAGAGAGTGGCATGGACTTATATACACTACCAAATGTAAAATAGATAGCTAGTGGGAAGCAGCCACATAGCACAGGGAGATCAGCTCAGTGTTTTGTGACCACCTAGAGGGGTGGGATAGGGAGGTTGGGAAGGAGATGCAAGAGGGAGGAGATATGGGGATATATGTATATGTATAGCTGATTCAGTTTGTTATAAAGCAGAAACTATCACACCATTGTAAAGCAATTATACTCCAATAAAGATGTTTAAAAAAAAAAAAAAAGATGGCAACAGCAGAGCATCAAATAAGGGTGGGGGCTTCCCTGGTGGCGCAGTGCTTGAGAGTCCGCCTGCCGATGCAGGAGACGCGGGTTCGTGCCCTGTTTCGGGAAGATCCCACATGCCGCGGAGCGGCTGGGTCCGTGAGCCATGGCCACTGAGCCTGCGCGTCCGGAGCCTGTGCTCCGCAAATGGGAGAGGCCACAACAGTGAGAGGCCCGCATAACGCAAGAAAAAAAAAATAAATAAAAAATAAGGGTGGGTGGGGCCCTTCTGAATGTGAGGCCCTGCTCAGTTATACATGCCCATGAGCCAGCCCTGCCCACACACACAAACATGTTCATGGTTTCTGATTCCTGTATTAAGATAGGTGCATGGAATAGAGCAACTCTGTTTTAAAAAGAAGCATAAATTAGGGACTGTATCATGGTAAAAAAACAAAAAACAAAAAAAACCGAAACCTATACGTTTCAGATCTGAAAAACTAAGCTGAATCCACAAACGTATATCAAGGTCAAGTTATTCGAAGTAATCATTCCAAGATTTGGAAAGCAGGGCATTGGGGCTGAATTACAAAGAGTCTCAGAAGGATGGAACTGGGCTAGACTGACCATCAGCAATGAACTTAATGCCTCAAGAGAAAGTACTAGATTTAACTTTTTCTTAAATCTGCCTCTGAAATATAGATTAACCCCACCATCCAAACAATCCAGTTTTTCCATAATGAGATATAAATAACTGTATCTCTCAGGGTGAACTGAAGAATTTTTTAGTTTTTCTCAAGGAGAGTTTTATTTCTCTATCTGTATCCGTATCAGTGTTTAGATGTGCCCGACAGGATCCAGTCTGATTACTCCAGAATCATGATTGTTTGTGCTCTCTGCTCGATTCAAGCTCCTTATTCAAACCTAATGAGCTAGGAATTGCATTTTCCATTTCAGATACTTTGAGAAATTTAACTTCTAAAGCTAGTTGAAGAAATGACAATTCTGTAAAAAGCTAAGTCAATTATGTTCTTCTTTTTAAGTATTAAACCTACTTTCTGCCCGAAAATAAAATCAATTTATGGAGTAACTGCTGGAAATGTCTACCTGCCAAGCCACAGTCAGGGGCCCAACATACTGTTCCGATGATCAAACGGAATGAGGGTGAGAGGGAAACAGCATGTAAGGAATTGTTTTCATGAGATTTTAAACACTGGGTTTGTGGTAAGCGTGCCATACACCAAGCCCAGAGTAGTGCAGAATGGCCTGGAAATGTACTTCTTACCAATGTTTCCAGGCTCTGCCTCTTTAACAGTTTAATTCTACATTCTTATCAGTGTATCCCATCGTATGGCAAATATTACTCCAGGTAATCATTTAATGCACTATACCATGGAATAACTTCTGTTTTTCTTCTTTAAAAAGTATTTTTAAATCCCATGTGGAGAATATAAAATCTAAAATTAAGGTCACAATCAGGGATTGTAAAACACTTTGTTGTACAAACCAATGAGTTCCTATAACCACATCTGAAAATTAAATTATAAGCATTGCAATATATTCTGACAACAGTAGAGCAAAGTTTATGACTGAAGGACTTCATTTTCTATACCTGCTTCCTCATTAGTAGAAATCCTTGCCCTAAGTAGGTAGAAAAGATACCTCTTTCTAAAGCCTGGGATTTCTAGATAACGATTTATACTTTCTTCTTCCTGGAGGTATGGAAAAGCCTGTGAATACGTGGCGTGGTTTTACCTTAGGACATATATTTTAAGATCCCATGTTGCTCACACATTCTCACTACAGTAGAGTTTGCTGGATGACCAAGAGTCTCAGGTGGTAAATATATGCCAACTCCTATTCAGTATGATGCTTCCTTGGAAGGTTTTATATTTTTATTTATACCTAAGCAGCCGCATCTGCCAGTAAAAAGATTAGTGTAAGCACTGTTTTTTGAATAGGTTACTCCAGGCCTGATGCTTTACAAAACGTGTTTATCCCCGTGGATTTGGCTTTTGATTTGAAGAGCCTTGAGTTATGGGTAAAGAGGCTGGAGAATCTCCATATTGTGTTAGGGAAGGGACTGACAATGCAGTTTTTTAGATGTGAAACTTTTCTGTCTTTCTTGGCTTCTGTGGCACAGTTAGAAACTGAGTTGCTACCAACAAAAGAGTTATTTTTATGTCAAGACTTTGTATTGAAGGAAAACATTTAGCTTATGTCCACTAACTATAAAAGTAGGTTAAAGAGCACATTCTAGAAAATACAGAAGAATCATACCTTCCCACTCTTCCCCATAGCATCAAGTAACTTGGGGTAGTTGAGGATTCATTTGGAGGTGAACACTATGCCTCTGGGTTTTAGCAAGTTGTTTAGGAGTGAGGGAGGTAGGAAAATAGCAGAATAACATTTTTCTCTTTTTTTTCTCCTCTCATCACATTTTCCCAAATGTACTCCTCTTGAGACCCACATGAATTGCAGGAAAGCTAGTTAACACATTTTTATTGTGTACATGCTTTACATGGAGAAAGATAGCTTAAGCTTTTTTTTTTTTTTTGCGGTATGCGGGCCTCTCACTGTTGTGGCCTCTCCCGTTGCAGAGCACAGGCTCCGGACGCACAGGCTCAGTGGCCATGGCTCACGGGCCTAGCTGCTCTGTGGCATGTGGGATCTTCCCAGACCGGGGCACGAACCCTTGTCCCCTGCATCAGCAGGCGGACTCTCAACCACTGCACCACCAGGGAAGCCCAGCTTAAGCTTTTAAGTAATGTAAGGAAATAAGATATGACAGTGGTACTTCCCTGTTGGTGCAGTGGTTAAGAATCTCCCTGCCAATGCAGGGGACACAGGTTTGAGCCCTGGTCCAGGAAGATCCCACATTCCTCGGAGCAACTAAGCCCATGCACCACAACTACTGAGCCTGCGCTCTAGAGCCTGTGAACCACAGCTACTGAGCCCACGTGCCACAACTACTGAAGCCTGCACACCTAGAGCCCATGCTACGCAACGAAGACAAACCACCGCAATGAGAAACCCACACACCACAACGAAGAGTAGCCCCTGCTCACTGCAACTAGAGAAAACCTGCGTGCACCAACAAAGACGCAACACAGACAAAAATAAATAATAGATAAATAAATTTCAAAAAAGGAAGATATGACAATGATAATAAAGATGATCTTAATAACAATAGTCAACATGTATTGGTTTTGTGGGTATACCAACAAACTGATACTTTGATAAGAAGTTTTCATGCATTAGCTCACCTAATTATTCAAATAACTATAAGATCAGAAGTTCTATTTTGACTCATTTTGAGTAAACTGAGGCATTAGAGACAGAGTGTAAACTGGCCAAAGTCACACAATGAATAAGTGGTAGACCTGGGAATCAGGTCAACTCTGTTTGACTCCAGGATCTAAACTCTAACCACCTGACATACTAAGAAGTGAATAATATGCAGCAATAGATTAGCACATATGAAATCAGAACCTGAGAACTGAATACATGTGGGTTAAGAAGACTGAAGGAAGACTAAACAAGAGTGTTAAAGAGGAGATGCACTTTAAAGTTTCCCTTGAAAAGAGTAAAGTAAGGTAAATACACTTCAAATGGAAGTGTCTGCCTTGCTTCATACTACTCAGCCTTGTAAATGCCCCTGCCAAGTAATCAGTTCTTACATGTTATTTTTTTAAATGCTGATTTAATTATTTTAGTAACATTACAATTACATGGAGAGAAGGGAGGAGAAATAAATTCTCTTGAGTAGTGATATACTCCCTGTTTGTACCTGACAATAATTTTTAACCCTTGTATCTGAAAATTATTTAGATAAAATCAGAAAATCAGATAAATTTCACAAGGGTAAATCATATTATTCATAACCAAAGTTGGTAGAGGGCATTTAGTAAGATGGCTAGTGTCCCTCAGCTTATCTAATTTTTTTTTTTTTGGTTTATTTTTAGCGAATTATCTCCTTTCTCCTTTTATATTGATCTTGAGCTTGACTTTACCGAAGTTCACAAAGAAGTTGAACTATATCCAGAGACTGAGATTTTGACATCACAAAGGCTGATGAATATAAACCTGAATTTAAGATCTCCAAACACCTCAGATATCAGTGCAAGTGCCTAGAAAAATTCCTGATGGAGATAATGCAATTATGACTAATATGTGGTTGTTACCCAAGGCTAAGATATATTTTAAAATTACATTTACAAATCAAAACATATTTTTAAATGCATATTTTTATGTGAAAAATTTGATGCCCTTGATTTTAGCCAAAAAACAAAATCCTGATTATTACACTACATGTTACTATTGTACTAATTTTGTTATACAAAATTGAGCCTGGATTGTTGAAATGGTACCAGTAACAATTGTATTAATGAAACATTTAAAATCTTGTATTTTATTGTAAATTTCCATCCAATTTGTAAAATTAGTAGCTATATATTAAAATTTCCAAAAGGAGGGATGAGAGTAGCTGTTGGAATACATTTTAGTGACAAAAGTAGTCAGAAGGGTAGGTTGTAATATAACAACTACCACGTAGATGACCTCGGGCAAGTTACTAATTTATTTAAAACCACTCTTCATCCAAATAAAATGGTATAAATTAAGAAATATAATGACATATAATAAAGATTTAATAAATATTTGTTCTTATTTTGTGTATTTGGAGAATAAGGACACAAATATAATATGAACTCGATTGTGCTTTTAAAAAGATTTTTCAAAATATTAATAGTACTCTTGAGCCCATTAATAACTGAATTCATGACTACTTAATTAGGCTCTGCAGTAATTTTCTTTATCGCATTTGCTCATTACGTTAGTAGAATGAAGGTGATGCTTATTTGTATGTGAGCACTTAATATCCACAAGAGGCTTATATAAATTAAATCTGGTGTACAAATGTGTCTTCCTAAACAGATTTTTTCCTTTCCTTTTTCTAGACAATCCCAAAGAGATGACTCGGGTGGCTGTTTTTGTGAGAATTTTGGATGTTAATGACAATGCCCCACAATTTGCTGTGTTCTATGACACTTTTGTATGTGAAAATGCCAGACCAGGACAGGTAAGCACCCATAGAATTTTAAAGTGTAGGAAGATTTTAACAGGGACGTTAAGTATTTTCTTCTCCCAATCTTGAGAGGAATGAGTAAACAGAGATAAAATCACTCATATAAAGTCCCAGTAGTATGATTAAAAGCAAACAAAAAACAAAACCAAAGGCTGACGTTTTTAGGGTTAAAAATGTTTTAAATAATAGGGTAACACATTTCATATGTCCTTCGTAAAGTTCTAATGTAGATAGGAGATTTTACTGTAGCCACAAAAGTTAAAGTGTAAGAAGAAATAACTTCTTAAACTTTCAAAAACAAAAATAAACGAACAAAAGGAAAAATAAATCCTGCTGTGCCATTAGATAAATATTGGTAACAGCTCACAAGATGGGAAATGAAAGTTGGGGAAAACAGAGACAAATACTTGGGATCATCAAAGCATTCCATCAATATTCCAATGTATGCAAATACGGTTTTGAAGCAGGGCCGCAGAGTTCACTCTTAAGACTTATACTTGCATTTCATCATCGTAGCAACACATAAAGTGCTTAATGACTTCTTTTTCGCCCTTTAAAACATTCTTCCTATACCAGATTTGTTTATAACTCTTTAAGTCTTTTCCTCAGTGGACTCATTTTGTTGTTTGAAGAACCCCAGCCTGTATGGCTGAAAGAGATGCTCTTAATTGGTTTGAATGCCATCTTCACAGAAGGAAGCTGCATGTTATAAATAATAATTGGGAATCAAATGTGTTTTATTAAAGAAAGAGAAGCCATCGCGAAACTGTATTGCGTTTTGACATCATTTGATGCTCTTTATAAACATCGATATCATTGGTACATTTTTATGCAAATTAGATTGTGAAATAACTCAAATTCTTCCTTCAGAAGATTCTAACAGGAATTCAATAGCCTGTCTATTGTTCGAAATGGTAAAATTGCTGCAATTGGGTTCATTTTTTTATTTGAAAGTGTTATGGAAATGTTTAATTTGGAATATTTAAAGGACTAAGCAGCTTCCAACCTACTTCTTAATGAAACAGTGTGCCCTAAAAATACAATTCCAAATAGTCCTCTGTTTGGCAGGCTCAGCATGATATGAGTTGAAGGCTTTTCTCTAGGAGATGAATTACCCACTTTGCAACTGCTGCATATATTGCTCGCTCTATGATTATTCTATCTGATTTTCAAGAGATACCTTTTCAGAGCATTTGAGTCATTATAAATACTCATTCCCAAATGTATTCAAAATACACAAAATAAGGGATTGTGTTTGTTTATTTTTCTTATGCCTTTTTTCTTTTAACCTATATCTGGCTCAGTAATTTCATATTTTTTGAACTTTTAAAAACAAGTTGGTATATTGAGGGAAAATAATCAAATCAAAGTTGATTTTAATTTAAAAAGTAGTCTATTTTGACAAATTTGACAAGAAGAACATGATTAATAATTTTTGTCTAATTGGCGGCATGTGCAAAAGTCTCCCATAGTAGTTATTTTTAATAAGACTCGTGTTAGATGTCATTTTGGTCTCATGTGCTGAAAAATTGTTGCTTGAACTGAACGGTAATATACTCACTGATGGAATTCTAGGTTATGACATCCTAGCAGGCAAAATCAAAATAGTTATTTGATAAAGTCCTTCTTCACTGATGCTTTCTTGAAATTAATTTGTTAGGTCTGTCTTCCCTCCTTCCGGGGAAGTAGGAGCTTTTTGGAACTTCTGAGTGTGCTTTAGTTATTTATAGACTAGTTTAGTCCACCCAGTACTCCTCTGAATTAAGTGCTCTTTAAGAGCAGCACTTCGAACAACATAGAACTTAATTCTGATTCATTTGGTGTGTGGACTCAATGAGACAGAAATAAAGCTAATTGCCACCCTCTCCACCTTTCTTGCCTATTCTCTGGCCTAAGGGTAGAAGATTTTCCCCCGGGGAAAGGGATGCAATTTACAAGTGATGTAGTATGAATAGTCCTGTCTTATGCTTGAACTAGGCAACTAGACTCCCATCTTTTCCATCTCAGACAGAGTACGGGGACCTTGGGAAAGGGCAGAAGAGAGGACTGGCTATTTCTCTGTTCTTCTATTTTTCTCTCACACAGGCTTTACTCCTTTAGTCAATAAAATATATTTTAATAATTTTTAATTTCTATGAGAGGGCAATAGCATTTCAGTCTCACAAGAGATTTCCCAGGGAGTCTCTCCAGGGAGACAGGCTGCTTATATTTACCCATTGATAGTATCTAAGCTCCAGGCCCTTATCAACCCCCAAAATCCTATTACATATTTTCCATAGAACAGTGCTTAGTTACTTCCCTAACAACTAAAAAGGGTGCTTTTTTACCAGAGCAAAGGGAATTTTCACATCAGTGGAAACTACCAGTCTTTTCACCGAAAAAACTAAAATGTTAAAACTCAGTGACCAGTTTTCTAACTAAACATCTTAAAATCCATTTGTCATCCCACACTTCATTATATTATGATCCCTGAAACACTCTTCAAGTTCATTTAAGATTATTTTAGAATACCTCAGTGAACATGCAAACCAATTATATAATTGCTAAGGAGATAAAATATAAATGACTTGTCTGTGTCTAGTTTTCAAATGCTCAAAATGGATACTGGACATCACCTTTTTTTTTTTTCCTAACTGTGGCAACTTCTTTTATTGGCAGTGGGTCAAAATGAATTTGTCTCTAGTCGAAATAAAATAGTGAGGTCTTATAGGGAGAGACAGGAGAAACAGTTTTACCTCCTTCTTGTTGCCATCTTCTGATTTCTATTGCAACTCTTTATGGTACAAATACCGAAATAAAATGTGACTTTTTAATGTATGACTGGAAATGCAAAGGAAGACTGTATTAAAAGGTAAATGCTGAATATGGGGAAGTTGGATGCTAGAAGCCAAGTTATATCTCAAAGGAAAAAAAAATCTATCTTGTAAAGGAAGTAAGTGTATCCATCTGCAGAGAGAACTCTGGTCATAAAAGAATGTTGTGATACGATATTGATTTGCAGCATGTCATTCTATTTTGTCTGCATTGTTAAATGAGTTTTACTTATTCCCTTTATAACATTTAATGAAGATACATTAGCAAATCGCTGAAGTATTGCTACCATATACAGTTCTACTGTCTTTTATTAAAATAATACATCTCAATTGAGAATTTTTATGTAAACCTTTATAATTTCTTATAGTTATATGTAAAGATGTGGCCATTTCATTCTCTGAACTGTGTTATTTTGTCCATAAAAATGAACTGGAATTGTAATTTGTAATCACAGTTGCAAATGTAAATTTATTATGAGACATTGTAGTTTTTATTTTAAAAGTCCATTAGCTCTACTTTTACATTTCTATAATTTTTATGCATCTGTATGTGAGAGTTAATATATTAATATTGATATATATAAACATAAGAATTTCTATTAGTCTACTATCTTTCTTGATATGTTATTTCATTTATGCCATTTTTTTCCTCTTCAACTTATTTCTATAAATCACTATTTGAAAATAAAATCTTTTAGACTGCTCCACAAAGGAGTCAGTCAAGAAATATATTTGTAACTGAATAGATACATCTTAAAGGGTATTAGTTAAAATTATTTTAACATTTTTCTCTTGAATTCCTTTATATATATACCACCTTTTGGTTTTTGATTGACTGGATAAGCCATTAGCCATAAACTCTTGCTTATATTTAATCTTAAATAACCACTTAAATTTCATAATGTTAGAATTTTAAATATATGTTTTAAATTATTTAAAGTTTTAAATGATTGTTTTGCTAGTTATTTCTAGACGATAAACATTTATCTTTGTCTGGTCCAATTATATTTCTTGTATCATTTTGAAATAAATTATTAGGGAATACCGCAACTTTACCACATTTTAATTTTGCCGGATGCGCAAGCTCGGCGCCCTTGGCTCCCGGCCCCAGCCGCTCCGCGGCATGTGGAATCTTCCCGGACCGGGGCAAGAACCCACGTACCCTGCATCGGCAGGTGGACTCTCAAACACTGCGCCACCAGGGAAGCCCCACATTTAAATTTTTATAGAACACTTTAAAAGAAAAATCATTTAATATGGAATACTTAAAATATTTCCCTAATTTTTTCTAATTATTTTACATAGTTTTAAACTTAAAAATCCTTTCTAAATTAATAAAACATCAGTAACAAATATTTACATCAAATATCCAGACAATATTAAATTGAGTTAATGCAGTAAAAAGTATATTCCTTTCAGTTAAACATAAATTTGACCATTTATCTAGGCATTGAAACACATATTTAACAACTTCTGAAACCTTCTTGCAAAATTAAAATATGCAAAACTACATAAAATGGTATTGTATAAATAAGTTAAGGACAAAATGGATATATATGCAAAAAATACATAGCTATCTGTTACATATATATTTGTATAATATTAATTAATTGTATAATATGTTCAAAGCAGTCATCTGTTTATAGTATAAGGTGTTAAATTTTCTTAGTTACTAGATAGCTTCTTATATTCCCTTACCCTAAAATAAATCAGAGTTGACCTTTTTAAAATAACCTATCCCTATAATATTATATGTATATGTTGAATTTAAAAATATATCATTCTGTTGACAGTGAAATGAAGGGAACAGTTACTGTTAAAGTAGTTAATACTGTAATGTTCGTCTTTCCTCTATAAAGTTATATGTAATTGTCTATAAAATCTCTACATTCTTTGAATAGTTTTCACTTTACTTTTAATGAAGAGGAAAGCCCTAATCACAATAATTTTCTAAACTTTCCTACATTAGATACATTTATCTTCTAGATAAATGTTTAAATATACATGAAATACCTACTTATTTCAAATGCTATATCTTATAAAACTGTAAAGAATACAATGTTACTATTTATTATTTTAATTATAATTAAATTTAATGAATTTAGTATTAAATTAATTACTAGTGGGAGAGAGAGAGAGAGACTTTGTTTAAATCTGAGTAATAATAAAAAGATGGAATAACTCAAACAAAGGTACATGCACAAGGAAGAAAATCAATTGTCCTTAAAAAAAAGTTAGACAAAATTGGATATTAAAAAATTACGTATTATAAAGCAGATTCTACCCATGGAAGTTTGATAAATATACATTTTTCTCTCTTCTGCAGCTAATACAGACTATAAGTGCAGTAGACAAAGATGATCCTTTAGGTGGACAAAAATTTTTCTTCAGTTTAGCAGCTGTCAATCCAAACTTCACAGTACAAGACAATGAAGGTAAATTTTAGAACGTGTTCATTATGATTTAAGGTGACATTAACAAGAAATTTTCCCCGAGGTAACAATTACCATATGCATGATATATTCATTTACAGATCTGTGTTACAAAATTTTGGTTTCATTATACTTTTAATGCGCTATTATGGTAATTTCTTACTTAACAGTGTTTACTTTCTTGAATTTTAAGATTATAAAATATGTGAAAGAAGACTCTATATGGGTTCTAATGCAAAGACTGAATCTTGCAAACATTAGAAAGGCCGGAATAATCAGTTCCTATAACAAAATAGTAGGACACACAGAGAAATGAATGGCTCAGTGAGACTCTTGTGTAAACTTCAGTGAGATTTAGCAGCAGCAGATTCACCAAAGCCAAAAAGGCATAGAAGAGACAAAGAAAAACTAAAAGTAGCCACATTAGCCTATGAGGGGATTGGGTGCAAAAACAGTTTCAATGGCAAGATGCACTATTCTTCTGTGTAACATATGAATCTTATAATGTCTCTGTGATCAAAAATACTAAACATATTTCTTGCATTCTCAAAAAAAGCAGAAACATATTTTTGAGGAAAAATACAAAAATGGGTCACTATTTTCAAAAAGTCAAACAGCTTTATTCTTTGGAAAATATGTATGGTAATTATTCTAGGCTAAACAAAAGTATGTAATCAGAGTTTTCTGTCTTCAACAAATTTATGTTACAACTAATTATATAAGGTAGTTTTTGGTAAAAAGGCATACTTGTTTTAGAGCTACTATAGATGTAATTATTCTTAAAATAAATCTAATAACTACATTGGCATATTTACAATACCTTCCTGTGTATGTACACTGGCAGAGCCAGGTTGCTACAGCATATCTAGGTGGCTTTCAGAATGTCAGAAAGCAGTTTAAGATAATGGATAGTTTTACACTGAGCAACTACTACTTGAGATATTTGATATAGTAAAATCTTTGCACAAATCAGCTGAAGGGAGGCATCGGTTGGTAACATCTGTTTACTAAATCTGAGCTTCTGAAATGTCTATCATTTCTGTCCCTCTGGACACCTAAAATAATTGTGATTGGAAATATTAATGTAGAATTGGCAAATAAAATACAAAATGGCCAATATCAGATGTAATATCTGAATATCAGAAAAGGACCCATCATTTTAATTTGCTGAATCTGGTAACCTAAGCATAGAATTTAGACAGGACATTCTTAGTACTGAGCTGACAATATTGTATTGTATTGTACCACTTTCTAATTGTATTTTAGTTTGTTTTATGTTCTTGTTAAACTGAGCCCCGGATCTCAACAAGCCACCTCTCAATTTTAAAAAGTTATAGAGACTTGAAATAGTACTATCTTATCACAGCACTTTGCAGTTACTGGGGAAACAACTCAAGGCTGATCTTAATTAATTTTTGATAAATAGTAGCAATTTCCTATACTGGGTAGAGTTCCTGATCCTACATAAGTTACTTAAAGCAAAGACTGAAGCCATGTGACTACAAACCTGAACATACACTAAATAGAATACCAGTAAAGTCTGATGGAATATTTGATCTAATCTTCCATAAATTCACTATTTTCTGTTATTGGGTGAATTTTGAAAGAAATTCCATTGACATAGACATCACCTTAAAGTTGACCTTCTTGAGAAAATATCATTGCATTTGTCTATATGTTCATCTTAAAAATATTTAATTCTACATCTTTCTTAAAATACATTTCCTGCTTTTGTGATACCACAGTTGGTATCACATTATTAAAAATGCCTCACTTTTCACTAACTTACAGGTCAAAAGCATTATTATATGATGACTTTCTGAATATTTAATAAAATGATTCAAACAGAATTGTTATTTTACAGTAAAACTTCTTTTGGCCCTTCAATGTATCAAAGCTATTGCAGGCAAAATTAAGATTTAGAAATTTTTGAAAAGTTAAAAGTAAGGCAAGAAGATTCTGAAAATACCCATATGCATGTAAATGTTTGTTTTAGTGTAGGTTTGAGAAAGGAAGAATTGTATCCTAATACTTCTTGGAAGAAAAGTCAGAATTGCAAAATTATCAGGATTACATTTTATTTTTTAAATTTGCCTATGCACATCTTCTATTTTGCTAATTTACTTTCCTAGGTTATGCGGTAGTTAACTGATATACTAAGATTTGACTTCTTGCTAAAATTTAGGAAATGATTACTTTATGTTCAAGCACTATACCTGCAAAAAGGTTGTCACTTTCTTTTCTTTTTTTTAAATTTTGCTATCCTGTTGGTTTGATTTAGCAATTGCCTAACTCACTCCCTTCCCTACGTTGGCATTTTAAGCAGCCTTATGGGATTGGTGAAACAAGACCCAGCACACTGGACAAACAGAATAGGAAGTTATCATCCAAGTATATATTGATTTTATTTTTCAGTATTATTATATAGATATAATGCACAACCCGCATTTATGGATACTGGGTGAGTTATTGGATAAAGGAAATATCGGTAGCAATATACTAGGTAGTAGGATGCTAGCCTTGATTAAGTCCCTACTTCTTTCTGTGTGTCGGTTAGGCACTCCACATTAGTGTCTTCCACCAATACTTTGAGTTACACACTGTATTCATTTTAATGGGTGGAAATCAAAGTTCAAAAATATTAAGTAACTTGCTGACTGTTCTTCATACATCGGGACTCTTGAAGGTTTTTGAATGCTTAATTGATTTTAAAAGTACAACTATAGTTAAAATTTACCCAATCATATTTTTCTTCATGAATATTGTATTAATGTGTGTTTTGTGTATGTGAACACACATACATTTGTAAATAAAAAACATTTGCTATAAGTTTTTCTTTGGTATGCATAATATTTATGTTTTTCGAAAACTCTGATAAACAATATGCTACCATCTCTATAGTCCTGATAAATGATTCACTTATAAAAATTCACCATTTTGAAAACATCTGAAAATTAGTTAAAACTCTAATAAGTAATAATGGTATTAGATTCTTCAAACTGTCTTATTTATCTTATCTATATTTGAATTGCCTTGTATATATTTGATAGGGAAATTGATATCAATTTTGTATTTTACACAAACAACTCTTTATTTTTGTGTCAAACCACGGTGATCAGGATGAGACAAATGTATTGCCCCCAAAGCCATTTGTAATATGTTAACATTTATTTTAGATAATACTGCCAGAATTTTAACCAGAAAAAATGGCTTCAGTAGACATGAAATAAGCACCTATCTCTTGCCTGTGGTGATATCGGACAACGATTACCCTATTCAGAGCAGCACTGGCACACTCACCATCAGGGTGTGCGCATGTGACAGCCAAGGCAACATGCAGTCCTGCAGCGCTGAGGCCCTGCTCCTTCCCGCCGGCCTCAGCACAGGGGCCTTGGTCGCCATTCTCCTCTGCATCATTATTCTGCTGGGTAAGAAACCGTGATTATTTCCTAGATGGCTTGCTTCACTGTGTTTGTAAATGGAAATGTTACTATTAAAATACTTCCCCTAAAACTAACCCCCAAATTTCAGACAGACATCAATTAACAGTGGAATGTTGTTTGTATTAAAATATTTTATCTGATCAGATAGAGTCATTACCTTCCCTTTTTAAATAATGAAACTGAAAGTTAGAGATGTTCTAAACGTTTTCCAAGTTTACACAATTTCTGAGTGGCTGAGCTAAGGCAAGGCACCTTGCCGTCAGTCTTTATACGTAGTTTTTCAGTAAATCTAAAGTATTTCCACTGGTTTTGGTTCTTATTACAGCTGGACAATGGCCTCACTATCTTACCTCTTCACTTATATAATGTTAACATAGCCCTTTACCTCCTTCACTTGTCCCTAAAACAATACTTGATTTTATAACCCAGAAAAAATTGCTTTTTAACTGCTTTTGAGTTAAAAATCAGATTGTTTACTCTCTAGTTGCATTATCTTAAAACTATTGGGAGTATTCTTGTGATTCTAATAAAAAAACACTGTATCTGATATTTTAAGAAGCAGTGAAATGAACTGGGATTTTGAAGCCAATCTTAGTAAGTTTCATTATCATTATTAGCACATTTTTTACTGGCTAAGATCATTTAGCTGATCATAAGCAATCTGCGGTTTAAAATCGTTACATCACAAGTTTATGTGTGTGCACAAATCATGAATTTAGCCAAAAGAAAAGGGCACATTTTCTCAAAAACTTGAAGAATAAACATTTTCTTTCTCTCCGTGGTGGCCTATTTATTTTTTAATCAGTTTGAAAGTCAAGAACAGTTGTCAATGGATTAAAACTTTCTTTTTTGTTGCATTAATAAAAGTCCCGGGCTTCCCTGGTGGCGCAGTGGTTGAGAATCCGCCTGCCGATGCAGGGGACACAGGTTCGTGCTCCGGCCCGGGAAGATCCCATGTGACGTGGAGCGGCTAGGCCCGTGAGCCATGGCCGCTGAGCCTGCGCGTCCGGAGCCTGTGCCCCGCAATGGGAGAGGCCACAATAGTGAGAGGCCCGCGTACCGAAAAAAAAAAAAGTCCCTTGTCTGCCCTCTCACACAAGCTTGAGGGCAAGAAGTCTTACTGTTCTGAGTTAATAAAACAGAAAACATAACTTAATACCACTTTACATAATAAAATAATTGCCTTCATTCAGGCTGCTGTAACAAAATATCATAGACTGGTAGCTTAAACCACAGAAATTTATTTCTCACAGTCTGGAGACAGGGAAGTCCAAGATCAAGGCACTGGTGGATTTCATGTTTCGCGAGGGCATACTTCCTATTTCACAGACGGCTGTCTTCTCTTGTATCCTCAAGGGGCAGAAAGCAATCCTCTCTCCTGTGTTATGTCAAGAGAGCATTAATCCCATTCATGAGGGTTCCACCTCCATGACCTAATTACTTCCCCAAGACTCCACTTCCACACACCATCACATTGGGAACTTATTTAGGCTTTAGCATATGAATTTTTAGTGGACACATTCAGTCAAGACCAGTAATAAATCCCATATCCTTTAAATGTTTGTTCTAATGAGGCTAAATAAATATAGATATTTCTTTATACATATACCTGGTAAGATATTTTCCTTTCCTTTCCTCATCCAACTGAATTCACATCTGTTTCTCTAAATCATCATTTTTAAAGGATTATGACCAAAATGTTTGGGGATAAAGAATGAGGGTGGGAAACTAATACACCCAGAGGGAAAATGATTTTAGCTTTCTCCTATCTTTTATGCTATTACTATTATTATGATTACTAAAATAATAAGTATATTATTATTATTACTGATACCTTCCCATGGAAGTAGGGAAATGTCCTGTCTGAATGATACACATTTCTACTTGTAGATCTATACTCATTAACATACATATAGCTGAAATTCATACATAATTTTTGTAGTTAATTCAGTGTAGTAATTTGAATTTACTCTTTGCCGTCATGTGATCCAGCAATTTTTTTTTTTTGATCTCAGGAGTGATATATATTTCCATGGAAAACCTCATAAATTTCTAAACTAATAATGTCTAAATAATGTGATCTTTTTTTCCCAGTAATTAAGGCCTTCTAGTAACATTGTTAGAGAAAAAAATATGTAAGTCCATCCGCAAAGCTATTTTAACAGATATGGATACTCCATATCTTGTGAAGAAAGCTGCCTTTTTAATATTGCATAAGGATGTAAAACTATGGGCGTATTTTTGCCCTTCTTCATTGTTTTATTTGAAGCTGAATTTGATTTGTGTCTATTTTTTAAACAACATCTTATGTCACTATTTAATGCAAAGTATAAATAATGTCTGTACAATCAGGAACTATCTTTAAACAGTTCTTAGAAAAATAGATAAGTCACTGTTTTTGAAAAAACCTTTCACATTGCTTTAAAAGTAAATTAGAAACACTGTTCTTAAACTCTAACCGTCCTGGCTAAATCCTTCAACACTCCCCTCTCCTCTCATGCCTCCCCCTCCCCACAAGCCCTGCAAAAAAAAAAAAAAATATGGAAATACAAAATTAACCCTAAATTCTAACCAGTTCCAGAAAACCTAAATAACAAACTCGTTTATAGTACTTCCACTCGTTATTTATTAATATGTGTTTCAGATGGACCTCTAATGCATCTTTTTTTCTTTTTTCAAGTTATAGTAGTACTGTTTGCAGCTCTGAAAAGACAGCGGAAAAAAGAGCCTCTGATCTTATCTAAAGAAGATATCAGAGACAACATTGTGAGCTATAACGATGAAGGTGGCGGAGAGGAGGACACCCAGGCCTTTGATATCGGCACCCTGAGGAATCCTGCAGCTATTGAGGAAAAAAAGCTGCGGCGAGATATTATTCCGGAAACTTTATTTATCCCACGGAGGACTCCGACAGCTCCGGATAACACGGATGTCCGGGATTTCATTAATGAAAGGCTAAAAGAGCACGATCTGGATCCCACCGCACCGCCCTACGACTCACTTGCAACGTATGCCTACGAAGGAAACGATTCCATCGCGGAATCTCTGAGTTCTTTAGAATCAGGTACCACTGACGGAGACCAAAACTACGATTACCTCCGAGAATGGGGGCCTCGGTTTAATAAGCTGGCGGAAATGTACGGTGGCGGGGAAAGTGACAAAGACTCTTAACCTAGGATATATGTTCTGCTCAAGCAAGAGGAAGTAACTTTACCGACACCGTCTCCACTTCACAATATTTGATATTCAGGAAAATTTTCCTGCCACTCAGCACAATTTTTTTTCCCCATTTCCTTTTTAATTTGTTCATTAATTACATTAATTCTTCCCTGTAGGATGTCTTATGGAATATATACGACATTTTATTTAATCACTTCCAAGAGCCAAAGCTATGGAAATTCAGTGTTGTCCTTCTTAGGAAATAAAAGATAATTTCAGAAACATGAACAGGATAGTTCTCCCTTAAGCAGCCTCACAAACAAGCCGCTTCCGTTTCTTAAAGGTGAAGAAAAATTGTAAGGTATATCCTGTTCTGTATGTTAAATTAAAAAAAAAAAAATGTACATGTGGTGTTAGTAGGTGTGATATGCAACCTGGTATACAAACGTTTGTGCAATTTCATTTCATCAAATTCTATCTGCTAATGTTTTATATTTATATTTTTGTATTTATTTTTTAAAAAAATAAACCAGTTTTTACAACTACCTTGTCTCTAGCTTTTTTTTTCCCTAGGGAGAAAAAGTTTCTCCACAGATTAAATATCTTGGTACAAAATTCCACTTAATACAGGTAAGAACACAAAATCATTATCATTACTATTGAGAGCTCTAACCAAATTAATATGATTTAGGGAAGAATTATTTTTCCAGTGAGTCTTGCTATGCTATGATACGTGAAAAGCTCTTCACATTAAGAGTTATAGTCATTTACAGATCACCTAAAAATTTACCATATAAGCAAATGTAAAACATGACCAGCCTTATGTTAAATATCCCCAAACACCAGCAATGCAGTAATTTCATTTTGTCTTTATTCACTAAAATAATATCTGAAAGAATAAAACGTTTTCTTTTTTTTTTTTGTATGGCATTTGTGCTATTCAGGTTTATGGGCAATAGTAGTTCAGACAGATTTCATACTGAAATAATCTTTTAATGGAAAATATGCTTACCTCCCACGGTGACTTTGAAATGCCTAGTAATGACAGTAATAATGCTGAATATTCCATTAAGATACAGCAATGGAATTATGTAAAGTTTCCCAAAATGCATTACATATTACATATTGGTAACAAAGTCTGTTTTTCTGTCAATGAATGATTCAATAGAAAGGAATAAAAAAGTACTGGCAGTTAATTATCCAGAGTTCCTGAGATTCAGGGAAGCCAACTGCCACTAACTGATGCCTCTTTTCTCAAGATCCAAACATGATTTATTCATAAATGGAGCACTTTGTTGGGCCTACACTAGGAAGTCACATTCCCTGCTGAGTTTATCGTAAACAATACCAAAGATTTGTGTGCTTTCCAATTAGTGAAAATGGTATGCTTTTGGAGTGAGTCAGAGGGCAATATTGACATATCCTTAATGCAGAATTAATTGTTTCAATCTTCTTGAATGCTTTTTGTTCCCCAGCTTCCAGGCTGCAAGACACATATCCCTCTGACCACAGACATTTAAGTTTGCATAGTAATCTAGTCACGAAAGGAAAACAACCCATGTGGTCTAATTAAAATTACAGTCACGTTACAAGGCTGACACATCAGACCACAGTAAAACCTAACTTGGTCAACTTCCTATATTCCAAGAACCCATGCACCCACCCAAAATGTTGAGAAAACCCTCAGTATGCTAGAAGGTTTATTTATTCAAATAAAATCATCAACAAACGGAAAAGATAAAAGAAGGTATATCTCACGAGCATTTCACATTAGTTATGATTCAAACTATAATATTGGGGCTTCCCTGGTGGCGCAGTGGTTGGGAATCCGCCTGCCAATTCAGGAGACACGGGCTCATGCCCCGGTCCAGGAAGATCGCACATGCCGCCGAGCGGCTGGGCCTGTGAGCCATGGCCGCTGAGCCTGCGCGTCCGGAGCCTGTGCTCCACAACGAGAGAGGCCACAACAGGGAGAGGCGCGCGTACCGCAAAAAACAAACAAACAACAAAAAAAAACTATAATATTCATTTGAGTAAAAATTAGTTAAAAAATTTCCAGCATTAGTTATTTTTATTAATATTAGATGTCGGTAATTGGAATTCTTATTTAAATATTTTTAATTATCCTCATACAGATAATTTTAGACTGACATTAACTTGCTCTATCATTTATTTTGTCATCCAATTTTTATATATTTAAAGAATCAGTGAGCTTTTGCATTATTCAAATCAGGTTTCCAAAAATTCTCTTTAAGGAGATTGATTAGTAGGCTTCTTTGGCAATATAAAATCTATATTGTACAGAAATCATTTTTCAGAGTACTGAAACAGTCCTTGGTATCAGATATCCTAATATTTTTTGATAATGAAGGTGATATGTTATATAATTAATTTTTTGGAGATCCTGAAATTAAAAATACACCTATAAGGACCTGCTCAGACTGTAAGTTTCCCTTACATTATACTCTCCCAAAAACAGGCCCAATATATAGATTATTCTATGTCCACAATTTCTTTTATATGTGGAGTGGGGAAAAATGTCACTCAGTAACATGTTGATTTTATCATACAACCATGGACTTTTCATTTATGCATCCATGTATTCATTTATCAATTATTTTGAGCAGTTATTATAAAAATCAAAGAATATTCTAGATCCTAGAGATGTAATAGGAAATCATATATAATTTATATATATGTACGTAATTAGTCTATTAGTGACAATGGGGGGAGGGGAAAGGCAAAATAATTACCAAAACTCTCAGAATTTGTAACAAAATACCTAACCTGTACTAACTTTTTAAAGTACAGTGAAAAGAAATTATTCTGCCATCCTTTTTTTATGTTTTTGTGTGTGTGTGTGTGTGTGGTACACAAGCCTCTCCCTGTTGTGGCCTCTCCCGTTGCGGAGCACAGGCTCCAGACGCACAGGCTCAGCGGCCATGGCTCACAGGCCCAGCCGCTTCGCGGCATGTGGGATCCTCCCGGACCGAGTCACAAACCCGTATCCCCTGCGTCAGCAGGCAGATTCTCAACCACTGCGCCACCAGGGAAGCCCAACACCAAGACTTTTTAACTGTTGTGACCATACTATTTCTAGCAAATCCCCCATGCAAGCAATTGGATTCATTTCATCTTTACAACATACACAGAAGGCTTCCCTGGTGGCGCAGTGGTTGAGAACTCAAACCATCATCTGTTTTCTCCATTGTTAGGAGCAATTAACTTTCTAACTGGCCTTTCTCTTGCACCTTGCCCCACTTATACTCTACCATCAGCACTGAGGTCAAAGAAATACTTTCAAAACGAATTTCCCATTTGATTGCTCCCTGGTTCTAAACTCTACTCCTGCCTCATTTTACTCAAGAGTAGAAGGCAAACTCCTTATAATATCCTGAAGGCCTGTCCAGAACCCTTTGACCTCTTCTCCCATTTACTCTGCTCCAGCTTCTCACCCTTTGCTGTTCCCCTCTGACTTCATGTGTTTATACTGACCATTCCTTCTATCTCCAGCCATGTCCTTATTTCTTTATAAAATGCTGTTTTAATTACGGTCCACACTGTCCACCTTACTTAGCAGAATTTCCCTAGACTGACCCGTTGCTCTTACACTGCATTTGTTTTCTCCCTAACACTACCACAGTTTTAACATGTTATATGACTTACTTGTTTACTATGATTATTTTCTGTCTCCCTCAAATAGAATGTAAAATTCATGAGAGCATGGATTTTGTGTTTTTTCATTGTGATGTCCAATACACAGAATCACGTCTATCTGTTTAGGTATTCAACAAACACGTATTGGAAGAATTCATAAATATTGTACTTTTGGATTTATCACATATTATACTTCATTTTGAATATGTATGTATACATATTATGCATATGATATTTCTGCTTCTTCCTTTATTTAGATAGTGAACTACTCAAAGTTATAGGAGGTATCTTAGTGATTATTTTGCTCATTTACCAGGAACCATTTTAATTCCAGACTGATATAGTACTTGGGTATTGTTTTAAGGATAAATGTTAATTAGCCAAAAATTATTTTGACTAGTTGCTTTAGGAAATTAGAGATATATTCTGAAGGGCACACAAATCTGAGAAAGTCAAAACGATGATTTAAAAAAAGTTATATAGTAAATGTGCTTAGAATATTTACAAAGTGCTGAAAATTATAATAGTGGGAATTGACATAAAATAAATACTACAGTCAGAGAATGACTAACTTTTCAGGTTCTGTTCTGGTGTGTTTGGGGTCTGGGTCATGACAGGAATTTAATATTGCAGAAAGGTCAGATAAAGGGGCAGTTGATCAGGGAAAGTTTTGAGAAAGATTATGATGAAAGGGAACAGAAGACCAGAGCCCCAAGGAAGATGCTCCTGCTTCCTTGCCAAAAGGCACTAGTGTTCAATTTTTTTTTTTTTGAGGGTTTTTTTATTTATTGTTTTTAATATTTATTTTTCTTTTCTTTCTTTTTTTTTTTTAAACATCTTTATTGGAGTATAATTGCTTTACAACGGTATGTTAGTTTCTGCTTTATAACAAAGTGAATCAGCTATACATATACATATATCCTCATATCTCCTCCCTCTTGCATCTCCCTCCCACCCCCCTTATCCCACCCGGTGGTCACAAAGCATGGAGCTGATCTCTCTGTGCTATGCAGTTGCTTCCCACTAGCTATCTATTTTACATTTGGTCATATATATTAGTCCATGCCACTCTCTCACTTAGGCCCAGCTTACCCTTCCCCCTCCCCGTGTCCTCAGGTCCATTCTCTACATCTGTGTCTTTATTCCTGTCCTGCCCCTAGGTTCTTCAAAACCACTTTTTTTAATTCCATATATATGCGTTAGGATACGGTATTTGTTTTTCTCTTTCTGACTTACTTCACTCTGTATGACAGACTCTAGGCCCATCCACCTCATTACAAATAAATCAATTTTGTTTCTTTTTATGGCTGAGTAATATTCCATTGTATATATGTACCACATCTTCTTTATCCATT